GCCTTTAATCCCAGGACTCAGGAGGCAGAGGCAGGTGGATCTCTGTGAGTTCAAGGCCAGCCTGGTCTACAGAGCAAGATCCAGAACAGAAACCAAAACTACACAGAGAAACCCTGACTCAAAAAACAAAAACAAACAAACAAACAACAACAAACAAAAAACAAAAACAAAGTCACTATGAAGTCCTTCCTCTCTGTAACTCAGATGGATGGTGGACAGAAAAGTAGTTAAAAGCATGGTCTTTGGTGGCAGAACTGGATTCAAATCCTTAGTCTGCTCCTTATTATCTTCATGACCTTATCTTAAACCCCCAGGCCCCGGTTTCTTTCTTCTATCAAATAAAATAATGATATCCAATTTTCGAGGTAGTGTAAGTGTTGGCAGTAGAGGAAGTGGTCCATTAACACAATGCTGAACACATATTAAATGCCCAGTATTAATGCTCAGCAAGACAGTAACTGACTGTATGATGGAGGTCCCCATAAGAATGAGTGATCCACACTGTTTCCTCTAAGACTTCACCTCCATCCTGTCCTCAATGCTGACTGGGAACTTTCTCTTCAATTTAGGGATGGAATTTGGATTCTTTAGCACAACAAGAGAAAGTAGCAGCTTTGGGACCTAAAATTGGACCCTCTAGGACCAACAATGTAGAGACAGCTGTGTGGGAGAATGTTCGGCAGGCCAAAGAGATACTGAAGGCATAAATAAGGTGAGCTTTCCTGGGAGCCAGCTGGCAGTTCACTCAAAGGAAGAGTAAGAAGAGGACGTTGAAATGGAAAGGTAACACTCGCTCTGTAATACACTTGCCTCAGTCAGACCACTGAGTCCTGGCAGGCCCCTATTTCTAATGTCAAGACAGGAGACAGGAAAGCATACCACTGTCCAACATGATTTCAGGGAGTGAAAGGCGGCTCCCCTCCAACCTCTCTAAACTGTCCAAGGGTGGAGGGGGAGTCATTAGTGAAACTCTTGAATAGCATCTTTTGGAAACACATCTGGATTTGCTTCAACATCTTTGTGGAGGGGTCTGCTACACAATCTGAATAAGAAGCAGTATGTTCATGAAATTTTTCACAAGACATACACAGATGTTCATTACTTAGCAGCATTATTTAGAATTGCCCAAAGAAGAAACAATACAAATGTCCATCAATGGAAAGATAAAGAAAATGCAGCATATTCACGGAATGAAATATTACTTGGCAATAAGAAGACATGGAGTATTGACATATGCTGTAACATGGATGAATCGAAAACATCACGCTGAATGAAAGAAGCCAGTCACAAAAGACTAGGAATTACAGGATCCATCTCCTCACACATCCAGAATAGGCAAATCTAGAGATAAAAAATAACCCAGTGCTTCCCAGGGCTAGAGGAGATGGAGGGTTTGAGTATGAGGCATGGCATTTCCTATGGAGGAAATGTTCTAGCCTGGCATGGTGGTGCACACCTGTAATCCCAGCACTCAGGAGTGAAGGCAGGAGGACCAGGAATTCAGGGTCAGATTCAGCTACCCAGCAAGCTCAAGGTCAGCTTGGACTACACGAGATTTGGTCTCTAAGAAGCAAAACGAGGACAAAGGTGTCTGGAAATGGGTTGTGTTAGAGTTGTACAGTCTGTGAATAAGCTGAAGTCATCACTGTAAGGTTTAAATGGACAGATTCCAGGGTGTGTAAACTGTGTCTCCACAGACCCATCTTTAAAACAAAGTCAAGCTGGTGACACACACCTGTACACCCAGAACTCGAGAGTCCGAGATGCTCCCAGGATCGCAGATTTGAGGTCAGCTTGGGCTGTATGGTGAGACCCTGTCCCAAAGACTAAACAAATAAAAAGCTGGGTGTCCTTCTTCCTGGAAAAGGACATGGGATGGAAGGAGGTTTGCTTTCCACCACTTTTGAATATTTTGAAACTTGTACTATGGGTTTCTGTTATATATTCAAAATTCTCCCCACTCCGTGAGTGTGTGTGTGTGTGTGTGTGTGTGTGTGTGTGTGTGTGTGTGTGTGTGTAAAAGTTTGTTGGCTGAGACAGGGTCTGTCACCTGGGTGCCTCCTAGGCTGGCCTCAGACTTGCAGTGATCTTCCTGCTTCTGCCGTCCAAGTGCTGGGATCAGTGTTAGCCACTACACCTGGCAAAAATGTTGAAAAGAAGCAATACCCCCTTGCCTGGAGTCAGACAAACTAGCTCAAATCTCGCTTTGAACACAGGTTGTATGACTTTTGCCATTTGTTGTTTTTTTTTTTTAGATTTTTTTTTCTTTTTTATTTTTAAGGATCCCCTGGAACTGGAGTTACAGACAGTTGTAAGCTGCCATGTGGGTGCTGGGAATTGAACCTAGGTCCTTTGGAAGAACAGCCAGTGCTCTTAATCCCTGAGCCATCTCTCCAGCCCTTGCCATTTGTTTTATGTAATTTAATATCAGAATCAAAAAAGAAAAAGAAAATAATAGTTTCTATATCAAAGAAGCATGAGGGTTGTCTGTGGCGTTCTACGTAAAAACACTTCATACAGGAGGAGCTGACACTGGCGCACAGTAGGAGCGGAGCTAAAACGTGAAAGAAGAAACAGAGGCCTGGCTTCCACTTTGGCTCAAAAGTGCTCGGAAAAACTCTCCAGTCCCTCGGGTGCTGACCCTGCTGCGCTTAGACCACAGTGTTGTCTCTTACGAAGCCCTGCTGCAGGCTGTCTCCTAAGAACTTGCTCACACCGTGGTTACTGACGATGGCCCTGGGAGTCATCTATCTGCCTGCCCCGGCTGGCTAGCATGGCAAGAGACTCTGTGCCCAGAGCCTGCCGGAATTCCTCTTGGATGGGAAGGTCCTGTGTGGATGTGAGGCCAACATCTCAGAGAGGACTCTGTTCTACAAGTGTCTGGCTGGAGGAAAAGCTAAGCTTCTAAAGATCCAATCACTTGTGTTGGTGGAAAATGTATTTTGTATGTTGAAAATATTGGAAAAATCATTTTCTAACCAAATGCTTCAATATTCTTAAAAATAAAAACATACTGAAAAGCTGGAAATGTAGCTCAGTGGTAGAGCGCTTGATCAGTATGAGCAAAACTCTAGATTTAATGATTCAGTCACCAGCACCACAAGAAAAAAACTCCTCCTCAGGGTTCTGAAGGCTCTGCAATTAGCAAGACTTCCAGGGAGATGCACTAGGACACTTCAAAGGGGCCTGCAAGATGGCTTAGCAGACGGGTCCCTGCTGCCAGGCCTGACAACCTCAGTTTGATCCCCCAGCTCCACAGGGTGGAAAGAGAAGCAATTCTGGAAGGTTGTCCTCTGACCTCTGACCTCTGACCTCCACATGCACACTGTAACCCTGTCTCCTCTCCCTCCCTTCTCTCTTTTGTGAACATGTGTTCTCTCTCTCTCTCTCTCTCTTTCTCTCTCTGCCTCTTCCTCTCTCCCTCTCTCCCTCCCTCCCTCCCTCCCTCTCTCCTTCCCTCCCTCCTCCAAATAAAATGTACTAAAATTTAAAAAAATTCAAACATCTCTGGAGCACTCCATGTAAAACCCCAGATTTCTAGCCAAGGACCTCAGTTTACAAGTGACCTCATAAATTGACCAGGAGCCTTCTGCAATGTGCCCAGCCATTGTTGCTTCAAGGAGACATCAAAGCCCTGCCCAGGAGGGGGTGACTTACTTTGAAGCTGTACCTGACAATATTCTGGGGTGCATGTGGGTTGTTGGCTGTCAGGATGCGAGTGAACTCCTCCTTTAACTCCTGAGGGAAAAGAAACACCAAGAGGATCATGCATAAAGCCCCCCCTCCCATCGCCTCTGAGGCTTGGGACCCCCAGGGTGCCTGTAAGCTCTGCACAGGCTTCTAAGCTGCACTATGGAAGAGCTCACATCTGAAGCAGGAGAAGACAAAATGAGCAAGGATAGGAGTTTGCTCACTCACAGCATCAGTCAACTCCAGCTGGTCAGGGGGTCGAACTGTGGCTCTGGATTGGGACCATTCATCAGTTCCGTCTCCCACGTCAGTCCCTGAATCTTCATCCTTAACAAAAACACAATCAGTCAGGAGTGCCCAATCTGCTTGAACAAGCAAGTGATGCTGCAGGAAGCCCCTCTATTCACAAGCCCTCCCTGAAGCCAAGTTCTGCCTATTGTGTACAGAATATGAAACGCCAACAGACCACTCTTGGAAGGCTCCAAAGAAACTGTTGATGCTTGGGCTCTCAGAGCCTGGAAGATCACAGCCACCTCTATACTGGGGTCAGGCCTCACCTGAAACACTGTTGTGGGCCTTTGTCCCCAGCAGGGCATCAGAAGCACCAGCTCTTCCTACTGTCTTCCACAAAGCCTAGAAGCTGAAGTCCATGACCAGCTGCCAAAGACTTTTATGCAATGTGCTTAGACAGCCAGAGAGCCCAGACTGTTCTGCAACCGCTGCTATCCAAATTTGTACTTGGCCTTCCAATCTGCCACATCAAGGTTACTTTTTAAAAAGATGACTCTTAAAACAAATACTGTCTTGTACTTTGCTCCTTTAAGTCAAAAAGAGTCAAGGATAACAGTTCTGCATTGCTGGACAGAGTGTGAAATGCCTTGCCAAAGTGGCCATAGGGTATTTGAAATATTTGCTCATCTTTACTAACAATCAAAGACATTTGAAACAAAGCAATATTTTTTTCTTCCACAATAAAACTGGAAAACAACAAGAGTCTTCAGGGTGGAAGGTAGACTCCCAGAAATGGGCACGGCCTTCCTAAAGTGAAATGTGGAAATATTTACCCAAGTTACCTATAACTGTTTATGTTCTTTGACTCAAATATTTCTATGTAGGAATTTACAATAAGAAAATAACCAGCCAGGCAGTGGTGGCACATGCCTTTAATCTCAGCATTTGGGAGGCAGAGGAAGGCAGATCTCTGTGAGTTCAAGGCCAGCTTGGTATACAAAGCAAAATCCAGGACAGCCAGAGCTGTTACACAGAGAAACCCTGTCTCAAAAATAAAAAGAAAAGAAAAGAAAAGAACCAAAGCCATGCCTAAAGACACAGGTAACTGCATATTGGTCATAACAGTGGAAAAGAGGAAATGTTGATGTCTTTCCTCTAAAGAGAGGCATGGTGGAACACATTATGGTGTGGCCTCAAGGGACATATGATTAAATTATGCAATAATTTCAAATGATATAATAAAAGTATATTAGCAATGGAAAGTACCCTAAATAGTATGTGAAAAACAGGCCATAAAATAATACATACTGTTTTATTACACACACACACACACACACACACACACACACACACACACATACACACACACACATCCTTTTATGTACATAAAAATACCTAGGAGGATATAACATTGCATGTTAAATAAAAGGTTACCCTAGGGTAGTAGCTCAAGCATCATTTTAAAGTTCTTCTAGCTTGTTCAAATTATCCAGAAATATATGGATAGTATTCTCAATAGACAGAATGCCACTAACATCTTGTTTGGTGGCTGGTGGTCTCAGCACTTACTCTTTTCCTGGCTCCTCTGGTCGCACTGATACTCTAAAGGGAGAATAAAAACAGAAGGTGAGTCACAGTGAAACAGGAGAGGCATGAATCACACCCCAAGGCGGCCCCTGCCCAAGGCCTCTGCAGCAGAGGGTCGTGAGCTCCCAGCTCTCAGGAACCATTCTGGGGTCACTTTCAATGGCAGCAGGTGCTTCTTGGTTGAGTCAAGGAGGTTCTGTGTCTGGGGCAAACCTGTTTTACCATCATCACAACTAGCCCGTGAAGAGTCACCCAGGACCCTTAGCACTGGGAATTTCTTACTTGTAACTAGTCCAACACGTATATTTTTAAAATAATTTATTTAATTTTATTTTATGTGCATTGGTGTGAGGGTGTCAGATTCCCTGGAACTGGAATTACAGACAGTTGTGAGCTGCCATGCTGTGAATTGAACCCAGGTCCTCTGGAAGAGCAGCCAGTGCTCTTAATCACCGAGCCCTCTCTCCAGCCCCCAACAAATATTTTTAAAATATATGCTAAGAGCTGAGGATGGAGCTAGGTTGGCAGAATGTTAGCTGCTATGCACAAAACTGTGGATTCACTTCCTAATAACACATAAAACCAGGATTTGTGGGCCAATGAGATGGCTCAGTGAGTAAAGGCGCTTATTTATAAGACTGGTGACCTGAGGAACTCTAGTAACTCTAGTTCCAGGGGACCCAACACCTTTTCTGACCTCTGAGGGCACCAGGCACACACAGGTGCACAGACATGCATGTAGACAAAATATCCATACACAAAGTAAATAAAGAAAAATGTCATGTTCCCAAGAGCATATAGTTTTAGTCTTCCCAAAGTTCACATGTTGAAGGCCTGGTCCCCAGGTTGGGTACTGGGAAGCAATAGGACCTCTAAGAGATGAGTCCTAGTTGGAAGCCCTTGGGATATTGAGGGCACGCCTTCGGAAGGCATTAGGGTAGTGGTCTAACTTTGTGGTTCTTAGCGAGAATGCTTATAAAAGGAGCAAGCCTGGCACCTCCTTCTGAGATCCTTCCTCCTGTGCTAGCTCTGCCTTGTGGTCCTCTCTCCTCAGCAGATCTGATGCAGAAGCAATGCCCTTGAGTCCCTCCAGAACCGTGAGCTAAAATAAACTTCTTTTCTAGCCAGGTGGTGGTGGCACATGCCTTTAATCCCAGAGTGAGTTCCAGGACAGGCTCCAAAGCTACACAGAGAAACCCTCTCTCAAAATAACCAAAACAACAACAACAAAAACCCTCTTTTTTTTCAAACACTACCCCCAGTATTTGTTATATTGACAGAAGCTGTCTAATATATAAGTAACACGCTCAACTCAACTTGGTAAACATTTGTGGAGCATTTATTTATTTGCTGTGCACTAACCTAAACCGTGAGACAAGGACAAAAAGATGAGCTTCCTGTCCAAGTTTCCTTAGAGTCCATGGAGGACAGGTGAGTTATCAATGCCATCACTCACTCACTTACCTTAAGTTCTTTTGAAAGCTAGCTCTGTGCCAGGGTGCTATAGGCCTGCATGGGTGGTACCTTCCCAGCCTGAGGCACACAACAAAGATGCCAGAGGTGATCACTCATCATCTGGGTGTCCACAGAACAAGATTGTCGAGGTGGAGATGTTGTTTTCAACATCTGTTTTTTTTTTGTTTTGTTTTGTTTTTTTTTTTTTTTTATTTTTTTTTATTTTGCGGTTTTTTTTTTTTTTGTTTTTTTTTTTTTTTTTTTTTTTTTTATTTTTTTTTATGTGCGGGTGCCTGTGTGTATGTAGGCCACGTGTGTGCAGGTGCCCATGAAGTCAGAAGAGAGCACAGGGACCCTGGACTGAGGTTACAGGTGGTTGTGAGCCCCCCCCCCATATGGGTGATGGGAACCAAACCACATCCTCTGGAAGAGTCCCTCCCCAGCATTCTTACCTCTGCATCTTCCCTCCAGCCTGAGAGCTTTTTTTTTTTTTTTTTTTTTTTTTTAAGGAGAAAACATCAGGTAAGGAGAGAACAAAGACAGAGAGTAAAATGTTTCATCAAACAAAAATTGAACATGGAACATGAAGGAGGCAGACAAACCAGCTCTCACAATGACAGGATCCTTGGGAAAGGCATGGATGGGGAGAAGGAGAAAGGGCTTGTGGAAGAAAAAGCACATCTCATCCAGAGCTGGATTTCTGGCTGGGAAGGCAGGCAGCAGGATTCAGATTTCAGCTAGGTTGCCAAGGTTTCCAGTGATGGGTAGGCCCTATGAGCTTTCCTTTGAAGAGACTCTGCTCTCTAAGGTTGGAAGCATCACAACATCCAACAGCTTCTTGGCCCACAACAGAGCACTGAAGGGCCAATCCCCACCCAGACCCCCAGCCTTAAGTAGAAAATGAGACCCAGTTACCACTGCCCTGTGAATGTCCAGTTACCACTGCCCTGTGAATGTCCAGTTCCCACCACCCAGTGAATGCCCAGTTACCACTGCCCTGTGAATGCCCAATTTCCACTGCCCTGTGAATGTCCAGTTCCCACTGCCCTGTGAATGTCCAGTTCCCACTGCCCTGTGAATGTGTCCAGTTCCCACCACCCAGTGAATGTCCAGTTCCCACTGCCCTGTGAATGTGTCTAGTTCCCTGCCCTGTGAATGTCCAGTTCCTACTGCCCTGTGAATGTCCAGTTCCCACTGCCCTGTGAATGTGTCCAATTACCACTGCCCTGTGAATGTGTCCAGTTACCACTGCCCTGTGAATGTCCAGTTTCCACTGCCCTGTGAATGTGTCCAGTTACCACTGCCTTGTGAATGTCCAGTTACCACTGCCTTGTGAATGTCCAGTTACCACTGCCCTGTGAATGAATGCCCAGTTACCACTGCCCTGTGAATGTCTGTAAAACATTTATCTGGCAATGAAAAACTGACAAGGCACTTTGAGTGTGATTGTTTTTGGCAGTTGGAAATATTTCAATTAACACACTATAAAAGCCACACTATAATAAATGCAAAACAGGCCAATGAAATCAGCTACAGCCCTGACTTCCCAACCATGGCAAAGGAGATTGAATGTCAGGCTGCCACTTTGGGCCCTTGGTCTTCCAGAAGGAGACGCCTGAGACAGACAAGCCTGAATTCCTGAAAAGCTTTTGAAGGTTGTTTCCAGAAGCCAACAAACCACAGAAGAAGAAAGCCCAGGCTCCTTCCCTAGGCCCTCAGAACTCCATCATCTGGCCCCATGTCTCATTCCAGCCTCTCTGACCCCTCCTACATCAGAACTCCGAGGTGCAACCATCAAGGCTCCTTCCAGGCCCTGCGGCTGGCCGGGGCCTTGCGCCTCTCCACCTTTGCTTCTTGTTTCTTCTGCCAAGAACACCAGCCTTCTTTCCTGCCTGATGAGACCTTCCTGATAAAACCCACTCACCAGCTTCTGCTTCATCATCCAGTTCCTATTACTACGGTTCCCCCACTTCCCTCCCTCCTCTGAGCTGTTCCCTTCCACTTTTTATTACCACACAAGCACTGGCTGTTGTGAGATTAAGCACCCAATTAGTCTTTAATTAGACACTCTTTTGTCTCTCTCGTTTACAAAAGGGGACAGTACTATGAGAGGAGTCATAATACTGCAGTACATATGGGAGGTGGCTTAGAAATTCCAGCACAAACGGCCTGCTAGTCTTACGCTGTTGTTCAAAGAAGGCCCTCTTCTCTTTGGCAGGCTAGTCTACACGGTCAGCTGAAGCTATCTACAGAGCAGGACAGGAAGACACGTACCAGCCACCATGGTAGGCAGCGTAACTCTGGTCATTAGTGAGATGTCCCAGCCTGACCGCCTTTACCGTTGAACATTCCTCTATTCTTATGGCCTAACTACATTTGGTTTCCCTGTCTCCAGTTTCTCTTCCCTCTCATTGTATCTTTAACACCATTCTCAGCTGGTGGGCCCTTGCTCTGGGATAGCCATTCACTTAACTACTTATGTGTATCATTGCATTTAATATTTATAACCAGCCTATGGGGTTAGAGTCATCATTATCCCCAACTTACAGATAAGGAAATAAAGATTTAGAGAGATGGAACAACTGATCCCAAATTAACACAATCTGAGATCATACTTTTAGTCCCTTACAGTCTTCCTAAAACGTAAATCTGATCAGGTCACTCCCTTGATTTAAAGTCTCCATCCAAGAACTCCCCACTGGGTAGGAGAGGAGTCCAAGCCTTCTGCCATGACCCCATTCCCTTCCTTCTCAGTCCCTTAGAGGTTCCCAAGTGTAAGTAGGAAAGAGCCAGGTGAGCAGGCTACTGATGGTCAGACACGTCCCCTGCAGCCTTCCCTGCTAGGAAAAACTGCCACATAAAAAAATGACTTCTCTCCTGGAGAAGCAGTGGCAGGTGTCATGTCCGGCTGTAAAGGTGACCAAACGAAGCCCTTGAGACAGCCCAAAAGGCAGGCCAAGGAGACACGAGGAAGAGAAGGCCTTCGAGCAAAAACAAACGGAGCAGTATCCTGGCCACAGGTGAAGCTAAGAATTCCAGCAAAAAGGAAGGTGTTCCTTGTCCTGAGATGATGGTGACCCCATCCCTTTCCTATCTAAACATCTTTTGTGATCAAAAACCACAATGAAGTGGTGTCTTGGAGTATGTCATATATTTAATAATTAACTTCTATAAAAAGAAGAAAATCTCTCTTTCTCCATTCTATGTGCGCCATTTCCCAAGTCACCTGACTTTTCTGTTCCATGTAAGCATCTTTCTCCCTGACCTAAACACCACCAACCATGATGTCTGGCCACAATTAGCCCCCTTCTGTCAGGCCAGCCTCCTCATTAGGATGCTGCTTTTCAGCCAAGGCGTGGTGACACACGCCTTTAATCCTAGCATTTGGAAGGCAGAGCCAGGTGGATCTCTGTGAGTGCAAGGCCAGCCTGGTCTACAGAGTGAGTTCCAGGACAGCCAGGGCTACAAAGAGAAACCCTGTCTCAAAACAAACAAACAGACAACAAAGATGCTGCCTCACTGCACACCACAGCTCTTTTCTTAGGCATAGCACTGGATCC